ATTCGAACCACGGACCTTCCGGTCAGTAAATTCGCGCCCTTACCACTTGGGCCATCTCGCCCCATTGCACAACCGAAAACGTGCTTTCTAACTGCCTCGTTACGGATTCGCCGACACCAACCCACATGAGCTATGGTCCTGAGACATGTTCGGGAGCCAATATTGTGCCGGCGAGTACTGACTTCGATCATACGGCCGTCATAATTGAAAATTTTTCGCGCTAATCAGAGCTCCAGTTAGGAATATCTTTTCTTAGACTTGTTTCTTGCCTTTAGGACTTTTGATTCTCCCAGTTGCAGGTTTCTTTCGGTTGTTTTGTGTTTTTTATTCATGCAAATAGCACGGAGACAGGTTGAGATGTTGACGTTCCAAGTTACTGTTACCGGTTGTATTTGTAAGACATTCTACATTTATAAGTGAAAGGGGTGGTAACAAAGAAGGTCATATAAGGCCTCATGACAAAGGTTGGAGTGGTGTTAGTCCCAAGCTGAGCAGACGATCTGAACCAATACATCTGCTCACAGTATCGCCAGTTGTGGTGTAGTTAATGTCGCTTCGTAAGAAGCCACCAGCTTGTCCGTGATTCTTCGAAGTTTTTCCCAAACATTTCATCGTTCATTCTTCTAAAAATTGCTGGAGCTTCTTGTGAGTAGCTTTCAAAACACATTGTCCTCACGGACCATCGATCTTACGCGCAACACGCAAAAAAGCTTTAGGCGAGTCTTGCAGGAGATTGGCTGTCGGATGGAAAAACTCGAACCGTAACCTAACAGTCACCAGGTATCGAACACTGTCCGCCGAGCGAGGTGATATCATGAAGGCACACGGTTATGACCTGGTCACAGAAGCGAGCTTAGTTGGAGTTAGATTCAATAGGTCGGATGGAGTTGAAAAAAGCAGTTACTAATAGAGGGAAGTCAGATTATTCAGCTTAGAAGCCATCATATTTGAACCAAGCCTAATTCAGGCCAGTCAACATGAGCTTATAGCGAGCAAAAATGCCTATGGACTCCGTTGAACGCAGGGCACACAAGCTGAGTCGCGTTGCGGAACTTGATAGACGGACCTATTGATTGAACTTGTGCGAACAGCCGGTTGTGTTTAGTCAGCTTGCGCAGTGTACTGCGACAAAGACGCAAAAAACGAATACTATCTAGCTTAGGTCCGAACTGATGTTTTGGACCTGATTGGTTCCTGCCGAAACTTCTGCATGCATCGTATATTGTGAGGTCATGCTCCTGGAGATGCAGTCACTGGACAAGCCACGTGCAATCCAGGTAGAGACACTCGAAGTTGTGGAGAGTTTTACGTATCTTGGAAGTTGTATTAGTTCTGATTGTAGTGTGACATATGAGGTCAGTGCACGACTCCGTAAGGCGGGGGTCGCGTTTGTTAATTTGAGGAACCTGTTGCATCAAAGCGGTATATCCTTAAATTTCAAGGGGCGTGTGTATCAAGCTACAGTGCGGGTTGTTTTTTTGTATGGTTGTGAGACCCCGCCTGTTGGAGCATCGGAACTGAGTCGTTTTCATGTGTTCGACAATCGTCTCAGAACCGTAGCCCGTATGAGTTGGTGTTGATGTATCCGTAACAAAACAATTAGAAGGCAGGTTTTCAGTTGTGCAACGGGTACTTCCATTAAAGAATGTGTCCAGCACCAGAAGCTGCGTTGGTTGGAACATGTGTTGTGCCATACAGGGAGTGGCCTAGCCTTGACCTGGGAGAGGGGTATGAAAAAGATTACGAAACGTTTAGGCGCTGTCGGTGCTACTCGCCTTCCGAGATGGGGACCGCGAGATCTTTAATATGCCTGGTTGGAGACGCTGCAGTATATGACTACTAATCGATTTAAACGGCTTTCTTGCGTCAGTTTCTATCCAGGTTGCCTGAATGAGTGTTTGGAGATGTAAGGGCTCTCCCCATCCGCTTTTACTCTCTTCTTCACAATAAGGCTTTCAAATAAATCATGGTGGTATGGCAGCGAAGTATCATGCTGTCAACGATGATGCATCGCATATAGCTTTCCGAACAGTTTTTATAGGCTAGTCATATCGGACTCGGCACTAGAGGCAGCCTGGAATATCTGACGCGTCTACTTGTAGCGGATGGAGTCACTCCCAAAAGGAGGGTGTTAGCTATCTCGCGAGAAAGGTTGTCTGACTGATTGGTGAATTCTTATCTGATAGAAGGCCACACACTGCTAAATGGTGTCACCTCTTGTATCCTTGAACACAAAAGAACGTCTGCAAAGTGCTCGAACCAGTAACAACAATTGTGTCACTACCTACTGCGCTATAGTATACATTTAGTTCAGCAAAATCGGGAGATTTCGTTTGAAACAAAATAAGGGACACTGGAAGAGCATTCAAGGAAAGTCTTGCGCGGTGTATCAATCGAGCTCTCATACTCAAAGTCAGAGTAAAACAGATCAGCTGACCAACCCATGTATACATTGAGTTCTATATTTGAGTCCTATATATATTTGAGTACTATATTCTGATGTCCCATTCAATAAGCGTTCATTCATTTGTTGCCGTTTCATGTGATATCTGAGCACACGCAACAGCTTGCTTCTTGCGAGGTTTCTAGAATTTCGGCAACTCAGGACATCACACTATGGCTCCATTTTCCTTTTGATCTGATGTGATCAGTAACACACCGTTTCATCAGCAGTTTGCAACGTGACTACACCGTATGGCTGGAGCGAGTTTTTACGAGTGTGCGAATCTTGTCAGTTATCTTGTGCAACTTTTCCGACTAAGAAACGCGTTGGCGCTCATTTAGGTGAATTCTCGTTAGATACATGGACCAGCAGAGCTAAATCTCGGTGTAGAAGACAAACCCGGACGGTGGTTGCCTGATATACGAAATTTCCACAGCTTCAGAAAATCGGGGTTGGGGGGATGCCATTCATACGTGGGATATCTTCAGTGTATAGACCTAACGCAACTCGTACGGATTACGAAACTACTGTCAGATTGTTCAGGATCTGCTTAAAAGCGATAGACTTACGTTCCTACCACGAACCTGTCGATCGATAGACCACGTTTTTTTTTTATTTCCGGGGCATTTCGAGTAGGACAGCTGTGTTTAGGCTGTGACATTGGTACATTGGCCCCATGGACATTTTGAGGTACATATACTTCCGATAACTTTTAATTGCCCCTGACGAAAGCCCACATCGGCGATATCTTGCTGGACAGACCCAGTAGTTGTTGACCTGTTCACCAGATTACTGTTATATGGCCTACTTACCCAACAGCATGCTGACGATACATCTTCAGATGGTAGCAAATCGCTTGCAAATTGATTACCAAGCGAATGTGCCAACAACTGGGTAAGTTAACATTTTGTTTCAGAAACCATACAACTTTCTGAGTTCAGTCTAACCTGGTTCGCACAGCCAGTGCTTGTTGCTCTCACTGGTTAGATTCGTGGTGTATACATGCATTTCAGATATCCCCAGTTCTTCCTCACGACTACAAGGCATCGTGTCTTCCAGCCTGCGTGTTTGTTTGGACTGTGTTCAACTTCGGGTCAGAGGCTCTTGAAGTAACCATATCGTTCTCTTGGCATGGGCCGAGCCCCGCTCCCCGTAGTACCCCGAACTCGAACAGCCAAGTTAACAACCACAAGGAGCCGAACGGGCTCAGTAGTGTGGAACTAACGCAACCGTTTGTCAAAGAACCCATCACGGACTATCTTTGTCGCTCCGCCTCCTTCCGGTCTACCAAAAACCCAGCTGTTTCAGGCTGCCTTTTGGATAGGATTATTGGAAACGAGCTACCCTGTTGCTTCGGGATTGCTACAAAAGCCAGCGATGAGGTGAGTATAGGTGTTCTGGTTCTTTTTCCATTCCAACCGTGCCCTAATCCTGATTCACCTAAGCATTGTACCGCCACGCCTTTCAGCATGATACACTTGGAATGTGCCGAGATGTATTGGGCTAAAATGTTCATTTGACTTATCCTGTATGTCACACGAGACAGTCATTTTATCTACCTGTTTCAGGTGCTTTTCTCTGTTTGTTTCGTGAAGGGAAGGTACTGGATTTCGTACATACTTTCTATTGTGGTGGGATTGCTTTGTACCTTCTGAAGTATTTCTCAGGAGTTCCTAACGCGTTTCCTAGACAAGCGGTAAAGCGCTCGGGTCAAGAAACCCAGGTTTTTTTTCTAAAACAATATCATGCCTTTGGACAACCTGGTAATAATGACCTTTTAAGGCACATAACTTTCCAATTTTCTAAATAATTTGAGAATCTTGCTCAAGTAATTTTATAAAAAAAACATGTAATTCGAAAATTAACTGTTAGATTGGTTCCGTTGGATAACCCATCGTCAATATCCTCCCTCAGTAACTTAGACCACTAAGCTACAAATGTACGCTTCCATTCCACAGTTTTTGGCTTTCTTGTAATGTATTGACAGATAAGCAGGATCCAGAATGTACACATTATAGAGGCCAAGCGTTAAAATCACTCTCCTCCCCTTAGGTAAAAGGACATTGTCGCGCAACTCATCCATTTTGCCCACCGCCACACTGAGAGCTTGGTGTACCCCTGTCTCTTGGCTTTTAATAAGTAAACTGAGCAAGACGTTATTGTCTATGCACTACTGCGATTCAGGGAATAGACAGTCATATTATCGAGCTACTAGCATCGGAATGTTGTGCTGGCCTGCCTATCGGCAACTTTTTGCTGTCTCGTAAGGTCATCCGCGGATCAATGGACCTATCCACAACGATTCTACGACGATTCTGTCTCATTGTTTCTGACAATGAATCAGACCGGTTGCACCGTGATACTTAGCGAAATAAATTATACTCAATTAATGTTACTGGGATCTATTCCACAGGCAGAAGAAATTCCAAACAGTTAATGTCATTGGTCGGGGTTCCCCTTCTTCAGTTGTTTTTCATTCCTCCTTTTAACGGCTAGTTCTCTCGCCTTCGCGTCATCCGAATTACGTAACTTCTGATCTCAACCAAAACCAAATAATCAGTATGTACACCTAGAAAACCAATTAATCGGTTTCAGATTGATTGAAGTGTACCGTTTGAGATTTGCATTTTTGTAATTATCAGATGACGAGAATAAAGAGTTAGAGAAGGCGGAACCTCATTTATCATTTATCCCAAAACGACGTGAGCTGAATACTCCGTTTATCTCAAGGAGCATATACCTCGTACTGTTCTGTTCATAGTTATCAAGTATAGACCTGATCAGGTTTATCCAGAACTCATTTTAACATTTCAGCATCTAAGGGAATCAGCATATTCGTTTGCTCTCTGCTCCAAAAACTTTATCATTGATTATATGTGATACTTAAGCATGTCTGGCATCAATTATGTTCTGCCTTTTTTGTTATCCTAGGCTAGTCTTTGCTACTCCAGTCTGAGTTGGCTTCATCCAATTCATTCAGACGTTCCTAGAGTCCTTGGTCTTGATGTAGCCATTTCCATATTTCCGTTGCGTCTCATAGGTTGCACACACCCTTCCCTGGTCTCGTTGACATCCCTTGATCTGGCTAGCTAATCCATTTTCCCATAATTACCATAGTTACTGAATATTTAAGAACTTTCTTCAGCCGTCTACTCCTAGTAGACGACCTACGTGCCCCTTACCATTGACCATTTTCCCAACTCTGCTCTTTCAACTTTCAAAGGTCCGAGTTTCTAGGTGCCCCGGTTATACGCTCAACCGGCGTCCAGCCAACCCGTTTGAACCTCCGACTGAGAGGAAATCTCCCAAGAATGCCCACGACTCTCCCGACTCAGACACTGGGGAACCAGATTTGACTTCATTCTGCTCCTATAAACAGGCTGCTTCTGCTCATACCGTTTGGGAAGAATTGAAGTCTCCGATGGGCCTGAGGGATTTGGATAATAGTGAGTTCTCACGGACTTTGAAACGTCTTATTTGTTTTTTTTCTGGGTGTTGGATATTTCGCCATCCTTGTGCAAAGGTTTTACTATATGTGGCAGACACTTCTTTACAGAGCGTGTACAGTCTAGGTTAACTAGTGGGTCTATACCTTTTTTAGGACGTTTTCATCTTATTAGTGGCAAACAGGCGATTTGAGACGATATTGCGTGATGAATTCCCTTTGGAGATGATTGATTTGAGAACTTACAAAGCCATCAACAACGTAAGATTCTTTTGGGCATTCCAACGCATCAAACATATACCAATCTTTGCCCTTCCATTCGATTGTAAATACCGTGGCATTTGTGAGACAGTGTCGTCTAAATTTCTTGATAGCCAATTAGGACAAATACAACCCCGGTGTATAGTGTTTGCTAAAAAAGCACACTGGTCGTACAGCCACGGACATGCACATGAAGGTTCTAGAGCAGATTTGTACCTCTTTATTACAGGTCGGACAAGGTGTACTTTCAAGTTACGCCTTTTGAGCACGCCCAAACGGGTCCATGACGTGCTGCACCTAGCTGTTCGCATCCAGTTTACGGTGCACCTACTTGCTGGACGGTCTTGCTACATTTCTTATGTTTCGGGCCATACCACAACAAACTGTGGTAAGATGTGAAGCTGTTCAAAGACCATTTTAGCTCCGCTGCTAACCTATACCGATTGGTCTTAATTTCTCCGATCAACCATGACTCAACTAGAAACGATTCCTTTTACGTTACGGGATGGACTGGTTAAGGCGCTAGCTTACGGACCGGAAGGTCCGCTGTTCCAGCCCGACCTCAGCATTGCGGCTGTTCCTGTCTAGGCTTGGGCAGCCTGACAGTATCCCAACCATCGTGCTAGACATCGAAAGCATGCTACAGCTAAATGATACGCTACAAGTGTTCTCTACGGAACGTTTGTTCGCTTAAACCTGTGCGGCCTGTGGTCTGCGGTCCATTGTCGACTTCTAGGTTTGTTACACGTCGAAACCCCATCGTGCCGCTTTCGTCCATAGCGTAATTCGCCTCGCTGAGGTCTGTTGGGTTACATTGTTCTACAGTGTATAAGTAGTTGCGAGTTTGGCTCAAAGTGGTCCAAAATGCACACTGCCGTACCATATTAACCTTCGATGGAAAAGTGAGCTGTCTGCACGTACAATACTACGACACAAACGTTCAGCTCGGCTCTTAAGTTTCCAACATTGGCTGGTTTTACGTACATCACTTCGCAGAATGTGGATGTTCGCTTCAGTCGTTTATCCAAAGAACATGAAATTCAACTGAGAATTCCGTTGTTCCGGACCTTTTTGCCCATAAATTTGAAGTCACTGATGAGCACGATCGTACCGGTGTCTAATGATACCCGAGCTGATCAATGGTCTAACTGAGCATCGCTGTCCATCCCTTTCCTATCTTAAAGTCGAACAAATGGTTGGTAGTTGTGGGGCGAGTACTTTGATCAACTAGAATCGCGCAATTTGCGGAACGTACGTTATTCACCGCTTGCCTCACAAACCGTGCATGTGTCACAACACTACATCGTATCTATCTCTTACCACTTGCGTCCAGTACACACTAGGGTTGCTTTTTTCCGTCTTTAAATAGTCACTATGGTAGCCACCACACAACATATGCTCATTCATGCTCTGGACATGTTCTATGCCGACAACGAAAGGAGAATAGAATTAGGACCGCATAGAGCAGTGGAGAAAAAGGCAGCCGCTAGTTTTCTGTTTTGGTATGATGCTCTGTCACATGCAAAGCGTGAAGCAGCTGAGGCTTAGTATCTACTTAAAAGAATTCTTCACTGACTGTTCTGTAGGCGTAACACATGGGCATGCAAACCTCTTGAAGGTTACCGTTCGAAGATGTTTCTGGTCCGTTTGAAACAATTTATGGTATTTCAATGCACTTGGTACATACGTGAGCCAGAAAATCCGCTACTGGAAGCTACCCAGCGCCCTTATTTTTTTTTTTAACCAAAATGACTAGAATAAACCATGGTCAAATTGGAGCGTAATTTCTCTATAAACTATCCGATTTTTTCATTTGTTGCGTTATCAGCTTTACTCAGATTTGCGGATGAAACTCGGCTGTTTTCAACCGTTATAGGCTGTCTTGTGCTGGGACATATAATACAGTTTTACGTCAGCGGATCACGGCGCCTTTGTCAAGAGGATGTACCGCTAACTGTGAGCTTTTCACTCGCTCTCTTTGGTGTCGAAGCAAAATTTTGTTCGTTAAAAATCACGTGGAGCCTCGAGCGGACTGATTCACTAAATCGTCTGAGCTTTGCTAGGGGCCTGGATCCGATGTGTCGAAGTTTGAAGTTAATGACGTTTCGTGTCTTGTGGATTCTGCCAAGGCAAACGTGCTTGTGCACATCGCTATTCATTGGCCGTCTTCGTACTCGTTCTATCCAACCTATGGTTGGGTAAGAAAAGGCTTTTCAAGAAAACTGGGTCTTCCGATATTCGAATCACGCGGTCGAAGCAATGGAATTTTGTCAGTTAATTGCTTGCGCGTGACCGCACCACATAGCTGTTCAGTTATTTACTATCGGGTCGTTTTAACCGATAACTAACTGCGACTGACCCAAATGTTCACAACGCTCGATTATGAGCATTTCTTCGCGGAAAAACGTCGCTGAAGTGTATTCAATAATCAATGAAAATAATACACGTCCAATGTTATGGCATTGATTTTTTTCTAAGATTCCGGAAACTTATCTGACATCTAAACGCCATAAAATATGGTGGCGGGTGGAAGTCGAGTGCTGTTGATTGATACCTTCGTATTCAAGGTGACGTCCTAGTAGGAAAGGACTTTCGCGGTTGACAATTTCTCCTTTTCAATTCCATTTGAAGCCACCAAACAGGGGACGCTAGGTTCCAGTTTGATGATAAGCACAAAACACGTTGCAGTACGCCGATAATTCCCTTCTCAGTTGCCTAGCTTTTCCAGTAAGCTGTCATACAGATAGTCAATTGATTTGTTTGTGGTACCCGTCTCTGTCCTTCCTCGTGAGGACGTCCATTTGCAGCGCACACGAACTCTTGCCGCTCTTGCCTGTTAAGCTGCCTTACGAGACCCTGTAGTGCGCCCTTGTGGCATGTTTTCCCAACAGCATTCGTTTGATCACCGAGTTTATTTTTTGACACTCCAGGCTTTGTTACTTCTCGCCTATTCGCCCGAAACTATACTTCGATTCAATGACAACTGCTGTTGCCGTAGGACGTTGTTGAAGATAAGCGGTTCGGCCCAGGTTTGACTGCTTCTCTACTCAAACTGGTACTAGTTTGAATGAGCCTGTACTTGCCACCAAAGTTCGCATGTTCAACACAGCTCAAAACCGATGGACTTGGCTGGCATCTTTGTGCCCAATGCCCTTGTTAGGCTCAACTAGAGGCGTATTAGATGCCGTTCAGTCTCATTTATAGTTCGAATATATTTTTTGATATTCCTCCCACAGCTTAGTCGCAGTTTCTGTAATTGCTTGAAGTGATCAGTTTCAAGCGCTTTTATCTCTCACCATCGTGAATTATATGTGTTGTCTGCTTTAAATGGATTGACTGTATTAGCACTTCTTCCACAGCATTTATATACTGGCCCACACTTTTCTCCCGTTCGCTTCCCTCCCCTCCTCTCTCACACACCCTCGCTCACTGTGAAGTCGGATATCACATACCCAATAGGCCCACCCTGCGTCGGAGAACTCCCAAGTTGGCTGTAATGGTCAGCGCTACGTGTATAGTTCCCCCGGCACGATCTGCAAATGCGTCGGTTGGAGACTTATCAGTAGCCGGTCAAGCCCAGTTGGAGTTCGCTGTGGTGTGGCATTCCCCTCTTGTATGGTTCCGAGGCAGCAAAATCATTTACAAAAGGTATTTCATCGTTTTGCCTTTGTTTCGCATCCTACACTAGTGTCATTCGTGTGTTAGATTCAGGAAGGCCTAAATACATCCAAGGTGCTGTCATATTTTTTCCCTCAACATTGATTTGGGTCGTGGCGGACTCCGTTGCCGCTGATGCTAACCCGAGTGGTGATGAAACTAAACTGCCTCGTTCAGCGAATGGCTAAGGAGCCGTCTATACAACTTGAGGTACGCACATCTTACCACAGAGCAAACCAGAGATAAGCTTTATAGTTATTCGAACGGTCCTTGTGTCGCGGAAAGTCCACTGAGGGGAAGCAGTAAAATTTTGTTTCCATAGTAAGGGACGGGACTCATGGTAAACAAGAATTGGAATCTCTTGCGAAAGCCAAGGTCATTAAAGGAACAAGTGTTGTCAGCGTCAAGGCCGTTGTTACATCACATGCTTTGGTTTCTGTCAACATGTGCACTTCGGCTTTTTATCAGGTTGTATCTTAGAGTTCATTTAAGTGGTGGGTTCAAAAGCTGTGTTAATATTTACATGGTGTGATGTGTCCAGTACGACGTATCATTGCCAATGCGAGAAAAGCGCGTTCGCCAAACTGCCACCTACACCGCGCCGTGGTTTTCACAACTTATGGCCGTTGTATGCATACAACACAGTGATGCGTCATCAGTCTTTGGAATCTGAGACGGGGATGCTTGAACGCGAATCAGCACAGTGCAAGGAAAAGTACTTTGGTGTGGTCTTCAGACACCGCTCACGCCATATAATTATCTCATCAAATCACCAACACCAGTGCTTCACCTCACTGAAATACTTTGGAGGAATTCGAGTAATCAGGCGGTCGCCATACTGGGACCTGAGCACCCATTTGGTGAGAGGTACACCAGACTGGTTAGCTGACGTCCTATTATCCCTCGTTACCGACTTAAGAGGACAGCAACACAGCACCGCAGAGCCAGATTGTAAATATGCTGCTTAGGGGCAAGAAACACTTGAGGGTCGGGAATAACTAAAAGTTCATTGTTGGTCAGATTTTAGCTTGGGCTTTGACTTTGAATACGAAGCTGTCATGATACCTGAAGGCATTTTTATGCATAATCTGATATTGTTTCTATGGTGAGCCATGTAATAAAAGTCGGCAAACTCAATGATTGAAGAACTAGATACGAGGGCCACAAGTAGCTTTGACAGCTTACTTGCACAGATGTGTTGCGTGGTGTCGTGCGGATCGAGCCTCCAAAGTGACTGATATAGTGGAACATCTGTCCAGTCAATGAAGGGTCAACATTTTTTACCCCTTCGTCACTTACATTGATAAGGCTGTAGTTTCATGAGGGAAACAGGTTCATATTCTATTGCTGGCACGTCTGCGATTTGCTCTGCGTTGCGGTCTGTTTATCTGGTGTTCGACTGGTCAATCGGATAGCTTCTTCGGGGTGTTCTAGGCTCTAGGACGTAAGAGAGATACATAACAATTAGTCAGTCACATGAAAGAATATTAGATACTCTCCAAAAACTAATAAAGACAGCTAAACAAAGAGGAAATACCCACTCAACTGCACCTTGACGATGTCTTCTCTACTGGGGACGAAAAGTTCGTAAGCCAATTGCCATGCTCGGCGAACAGATCAACAACTATCTGATCAGCCACTAGATGCACAGGTGTACTAAGAATTGCGCCTAATTTAAACACCAACCCAGTGTCCCACGGGTTGATGCTATGTACCTCTGCTCACTTTTCAGCTCTGTACTTTTTCTTATAAAAAACGTGGTGATATTGTGACGAAAAGCCTGATGATGGAAGTGTATTTGTGTGCATTCGATAGATTTTCAGACAGGTTCCACTTATATTCTCTCATTCCAGGTTTTACTGAGTCGTCAACTAGTTTCTATGGATATCTCGAGTGCCACGAACAAGTCAAACGTTCTAAAGATCAATAACCACTTTTTGTCACATTGCTGCGCGGCCTATATTCCTAGGAGAGCTTGTTGGGAGCGCCGGCATAATAACGTAAACGAGTAATAGCGACGATGTCTTGTTCACTTCTGTATGATAAATCAGATGGCTGGGGAGTATTAGATAAGACATACAAAATGACACAAGTGAACGACTGATTTACGAGGATATCTCAATGATAACTCACCATAAGTAAGGACCACTGCGTTCTCCCAAAGATGGATGAACTGAATTATTGTGAGTGTGAATACTCATCGCTCATTGATTGGAGCGCGAACTTACTGACCGGAAGGTTTGTGGTTTGAACCCTGCCTCTGCCTCTCGACTTCCCCTCTGTAGGCCTGGACAACCTGGCAGCATCCCAGCTCTGGAACTTCCTTCTGGTGGCATGGCACTTAGGCACGGAAAGGGTGCTACAGCCGAACGGTTTCCCCTTTAGTTGTTCCGTTGAAGCGTCTTTCAATACTGAAGTCCCCTCCAGAAGAGGTTATCTCGATTTGCTCTTCCTACAAAGGAAACAGTGTTACTTTTAGCTTCGGTTACCTCGACAGCGCCTTTGTTCAGCAAACTTGGGGATACAACTTAGCGTATCAGGATCTTGGAGTTTTTATCAGCTTGGAAACTGGGTGCTCGGGATTCCATTCTTCCATGAGTTAGGCAGCTGTGATATAAGGGCCTAGGGCACTGTTTTAGGAATAGAGGCTAAAATATTTGTTTTTCTACTTACAAACCACACTGTCAGTAGTATCGTTCGTCTTCACATTGTCTCTCACTTTTTATCTTCCGCCTCACTTGTCAACAGGCGCTATGCACGTTGGTTTCCCGAACCGGGCATGTTGGGTGCAGAACGCCTACTTGAATCCGCTTTAAGCAACTGGAAGGATTGGGTGGAAAGGATAGAGCAGTGGCAAAACCCAGTACTCCACAACAGGTGATTTATCCTTGTATGTTTTCTGTCTTTGCTGAAATTCAAACTATAGCCGTCTCCATCCGGAGCAACCCTCTGAAGAACAACACTAGTCTATTCTGCGAAGTAGTCTCTCGCGAGGGTTGACAGTTGTACCACATTAAGTGAAGATCAAGATATCTATGCTGACAGCTTCCGGTCATCAAACAGACATCAGTATAGACTGCGATTTCGGTTCAGCTACATCCCGGACTTTCAGGGTTATCAAATAAATTTACTCGTCATCATGGAAGACGGGATACAGTTAGTGAATTTCATCCTCATCTACCTTCTGGAAGTCCGAAATAGCTCAGTTTTACTATTTTTACTAACCGGAAGGTCCGTGGTTCTAACCCAGCCTCAGTATCTCGACTGCGCCCCTCTAGGCTTGGGCAACATGGCAGCATCTCAACTCCCCAGCTTCCTTCAGGTGGCATGGGAGCTAGGCACTAAAAGGGTGTTACGGCTGATTTACCTGTTGAACTGAAGACGGACCCAACTTCATCCACTACTCAGAAAACTTATTTTTTCCCCAACGTAACAGTTCGAAAGTAGCAATACTTATGACTGGGTCTCACAAACACTACGGCTTCAACTGGTGTTCGGAAATTCCCTCGCGCAGTCAGCGTACGCGTACCCTATCTGCCTTTGTTAACACGTTATAATTTTTGGTGTAATTTGAGTCATTGTTTTACAAGCCGCGCTATTACCTCAAGTAGATACTAATACTAAATGTTGGATCCGTATCCTTTTTTAGCCTTTTCTAAATCAATATGCACTAAATGGCTTACTTGGAGAGGAATGTAGGACAATTCACAGTTAACCGGTTCAAAACACTGACATCACGTTTTATTGGGAGTAGCGAGTTGCTCTTGGGATCGCCGACAAAATGGCTATATTTTCTGCATCGATGCAATCAAATATTGTTTGGTATTAGTTCAACATAACGATTTTCAACTTTTGTGCTTTGTTTACTTGCATTCGTATCGCAAATCAGCTCAATGAGGACACAGCACGACTCAACGAGCAACGCCATCACGAGACAATATTCGTAGGTCAAACGTGCCAAACGTAAATGTTCTGTTGATTTCCAACCGAACATTCATGTTTTGGACTCACTCGCATGTCCTTTAAGAACATGTGACCCAAAAAGAAATAAACTATTTAAGCTCCATACATCTTTTGTTCGCCTATATTCATCGTCCTGGTGCTGGATACCACCTTACTATGGTGAATATTTACGGCAGACTGGTCATTGCAGACTGCAGCCGTCCACGATTGACAGTCCGGACGAGGATTGCATGGATGACGAGTCCAGCTGCCAATTTTTTGCTGCGTCTAAGTTGACTGACGTGTATACGGGGCCTTCGTCAAATAAGAGTTCTTTCTATGGATTGCAAACCCACGTTCTTCCTCTCTCGATTATTTAAACTCCACCTGTTTCTTTTTTCAGTTCTTTTCCCGACTGGTACAAATCCGCACTATTCAACGAGCTTTATTATCTAACTGATGGCGGCACTGTCTGGTTAGACCCTGTGGCATTTCAAGGAATCACATCCCAGCAGTCCAAGCTGATCCCGATCGACTTTGTTCGTGCCTTCAAGGGAAACGCCAGCCTGGACCCGTTACAGCTCACAGGGCGACATTTAGATGATGACTCTGATCGACGGAACCAACATGGAGGTGCGGATTTCAAATGGCAAAGCTGGAAATATCGCTCCCGAGTGGCACAAGAAATGGGCCTGTTTGCATACCTGGAAGGTAAGACGCACCATCCAAAATAACTCATTTTGGCAGGTCGTCTTCCGGGTATTGCAGATTGCGCCCAAAGAGAGCGCAGCAGTTAGCGACTATATCACCAGGATTGAAATGGTTCATTGAAACAAGTGGTAGACTTGGTTTAGTATGCTGCAATACCAATAACACATATATTCAAGGCCCGCAGTCCAGCATCGTTTTCACACCGATGGTGAACGGGCACTGTGCAATTTCAACGATGTATACTTGTCGGTGAACGCTACGAGCCTACTCAACTCGTTGCTGCTTTCCAAAAATGTGCGAATCAGAGCTTATGGTTGATCATAGTGTTTTGAGCTCTGAGTGCTGTGCACATGGCTAATTTCGCACAGTTGTCATCCTCAGCGTTTCACGTACCAATCTGTTTTACTGCCAGCAGACTAGTTTTCCATCTTATACAGCGTCCATGGTCTTGGCCCTTAGTATTTCGCAAGCGGTAGGTTCCCCGTGACGAGTAGTGGGTTATGTGCCTCGATTCCTAGACTTGTTTCTAACTGATAGAGTGTATCATAGTTCTAATGGGACTCGTCCATGCTAGATGGCATGTGCCTTTCCAAAAACTATTAGTATTCCATCTTTTTTCCCATAGGGCATGAGTACCGAATGTACAACACCCTGGACGTGCATTACAACTCCTCGTGGGCTCTCATCAAGCTCTGGCCAAAGCTTCAGTTGGCTCTGCTTCTCGATTGCGCCGATCTGGCGATCGAAGAGGACCAGACGCAGCTGTACTTTATCCACCAGGGACGCTATGGAATCCGAAGTACAGAATCTGCTGTGCCCCATGACTTTGGCGATCCTGAGGGCGAGCCTTGGCGTGACGCGAATGCCTACGTGATGTACCCTACGAAGGACTGGAAGGATTTAAACCCCAAGTTTGTTTTACAGGTCTGGCGAGACTGGAAATTGACGCAGGACAACGACTATCTCCTGTATATGTTACCGATTGTGAATGTGAGTCTTGAGAACGAAGTCTTCGGCTTATATTGCAAGATGAATTCATGCTTCTGTTAGGGTCAGTCACTGCAGTGTGTGTGACACATTACATTGGACTTTAACCAAAACACAATGCGTTTCAGCTAGCAAACACCATCCACTTGTAGATGGGTTATCTGCTGGACTAAAAGGTGCGCACACACACAATTGAGCTAAATATGAGGAATGGGGAGTAAGAACTACCATATGTTCATCTGTGATGTTTACCAATGTTGGTTTTCAAAGTGTAAACAAGTTTTGTAATACTTCCAGTGAACAAGTCGTCTTAAGCACTTCCTACTGTATCGGGTTTTGATCAGACGGCCACAAGGATTCAGATCAGATCGGGCTGCCGTAATGCTTTATTTCTTTTCGCTCAAGGTTCATATGGTTAATGCTAAGACGAAGATTACCTATGTATCCTGACGTCTTCTTCAGCTGCCTGGAACTGTTTTTCCGTGTAGCTGAATACAGTGCGTTGGTCTCATTCGAGACGTGCATTTTAGGATGGTACGAATCCGAACTATGAAGTGATGTGGTCATCAAAAGATTGAACTCGTTCAGAGCTCCTACAATGGTTTGCTCAGTATGCTTTTTCTCAAGACTTCGTACATCTCTGACTACTTTCCAACTGGTCCGATTCAGACAGGAGCACTCGAGTTCTCAGATATTCTTTCTTTCCTCACTTTTATCCTTGTGCTGTGCCACAGGCAGCCTGTCCTCTGTTAAGTTCTGGTTAACGATACTTAAGGGTTGATATCGCCCCATGTGGATGTTTCTGAACTTCAAGAGGGGGGTTGACGGTAGCACTCCATGAAGCATTGGAATCAAACGTAGCTTGCGCGCCGCCCTGACGATTTGTCTCACTATCCAATGGACTAGAGTGTAACACGGATGTTTTCACGATCCTTGGGGGAAAATTCTTGTTGAGTAGTGGTTTTAATTTACTCTGTGTAAAGTAGGTTCGCTGAAGGCAGCACCTGTTTGGTGAACTATGTACTTTGCTTATCATCTACGTTCAAGTCGAACCTTTGTTTCGCTTTCACCTTGTACCAACTTTAGTTTAATCCATATGGAAGTATCAGCTTCAGTAGGCGCTTGAAAAACATTGAAAAATTCAGATAACACGCTCTAACCTTGTTGATTATACGCTAATGCGTGAGTAGTATGCATTTAATGAATAGGCCATTCCCACCTCTTGTCCTCTCTTTGCTGCTCATGCTGATTACTTCCATATTCGGTGGGTCTTTTTGTGTGTGCATGTAAACCGAAGGTTGCTCACCATTTAGTCCATTGGACGAAGGACGAGCATCTCTTCGTGGAATCCACCCGTCATCACATTTCAAGCACCATGATAAAAATACATGGCACTTTATCACTAAATGTCATCGAATTGATGGTAGTTTGATGAGATCCCCAATCGGGATTTCGTCCTGTAAGTGGAGCCAACTTATGCTGAAAGGCTGGGAAGTTCGTACAGCTGTTCCATCCTTAGTGGTAATAATCATCATCTCACGAAACTCTAGTAGGGAATTTCGAACCTGTGGCCTTCCGACCAGTAGTTGAACACGACTAACTGAGAACCAATGTGATTAGTTTACACTTGGACGGTATAAAAATCGTTCGGCTCTGGCACCCTTTTGGCGCCTAATTGCCGTACTACCAGAAGGAAGCACGAGGGCTAATATACTGTCAGGTTGTCCAAGCCTAGACGGGGAAATCGATGGGCAGAGGTCAGGTTCGAACCACGGACTTTCCGGTCAGTAAATTCGCGCTCTAACCACTGAGTCATCTCGCCTCTTGGACAGTATGTAGCGCCGCTCATGCTTCAATCACAGAAACAACACCTCGCGGTTAGGTGTCGACTGGGTCCTCGAGTGGTAAGTTCTCAGTTGGAAGTTTCACTTAAGCTACTTGTTACTGAAGTGTCTCAGAAGAAGAATTTCACATGAGTGAAACTACCATATGAGTTGTCATCAACACATAACCGCGTGATATGGGTCGTGGGCTTCTCGGCGTTTCAGAATAGACCGGCTTCGAGTACAGGAATTTTGTCCTGTCCTTTTGGTAATACCGCCGAATTATTAATAAAATGCATCAGGCGGTATGCTGTGCCCTTGGGACTGTTGGATTTATAGCTGAGAGCGAAAAGCCACAAAACATTGATGAAATGCTTGTAATCTCAGATCTGTAGTGGGTTGTTTTCTCCACAGCGACGTGTTAAAATTCAGCGACACTTTTTAAGTCTTACCCCATTCACTAGTGCACTGGTGAAACGGCCAAGTGTGTGAAGTGATCTCCATACTCACTTGATTGGACTTCCCTCGATAACACAGAGCTATTTGTGATAAGCGTGCACCATTTCGGAATGACTAAGGATATGCTGACCGGTGGTTTAAACTTTGGGTTGGGTATTTTGTTTGCTTGCGTTTCATCACCAGTTGGGTTGACATCATGGGCGCTCTTATTTACAACGGAAGGATCCGGTATTTAGAAGCTTATCTGGATTGGAGAGTTCATACCAATACAAATGTTTGTATTCCTTGTGGTGAAAAAGTTTTGTTTAAGGATTGGGGTACTGGCCAACACAAGGTTGACAAAACTTAAATACACCTGGTTAAGGTATTTGAAAGTCTTCCTCTGAATAGGTCTAAAAGCTGTGTGCTCCCTCGTTCCGTTTCGTCAGCGTCTCATCCAAGTGAGTCTGCAATCTTGGGATTCCAACGGTGATGGGATGATTGAGAATTCTGGATTTCCGGATCAAACATACGACACATGGAATGCACATGGAATAAGGTGAGTTCATCTGTGGGTCTGGACGTAGCGTCCCAGGATGATAGTCTGGTTCGTTTGATTTACTCACAACAAGGTTTCACAACCATGCATCACCAGGTGTGCATGCAACAACCACAGATCGGAACCAGATGCACAGCAGTGTCCATTGTTTTTCGTCTAATATGTCGGTTTTGCTTATGAATGCTTCCACCGCTAAACAGCCTACGGCCAAATGAAGAATGGTGCACACACAAACGAGATGTGCCAGAATATCGGCAATCCGAACTCGTTTGTTGGTGCTTCTTCTGTTCACGAAGCTTGACAATAATCTGGCAAAGTTTTCATCATCTTGGAGAAAACTTCTTCACTCAGGAATTGGATGGATGTTTGTCCTTGCTCGCTTGTTTTTATATAGTTTTTAATTGGTACCTAATACCCCTAACTTGAGTGTTCAATTGAGAAGATTGTTCTTGTAATTTGATTGGCCAGTTTGCAATCTTTATTGGATGGGGGTCTGATTTCCTTTATCCGGATCTATCCGTTTGTGTTGCATTGTGGTATTCCACGGAAAAAGTCATCGCCGAGCATGCTAATATCGACCAGCCAATCAACCTTTGAGCACGAAACCGCATTCCGGGACCACTGTGTTCAAAAGAATTCTAGGAAAAAAAATTGAGGAACCTGTAGGAATCTAAACCCAACTGTTGGAACAACTCTACTGGAACGCACAACCACACAGGACATGGACTGACGATTGAAGGGACCAAAAGAACAAGGAACCGGAGTTACACGAATAGTTGATAAGCTATCTAAAACCCGAAAAATGGAATCACAAATAGACTAATCAACTCGGAAAACGAAACATAACAATAAGCGGCTAACTAGTGAAAATAAGAGAAAACATACTAGAGTTTAAGCTAATGAGCTGATAAAAACTTGACTAACAGACGACTTACAAAATACCAAACCGGCAAATAGAGGAATGGACTACAACTCAACACAAATTAAAAACGGACAAATCAGAACTGAAGAACACAACTGTTGGGATAAACCATACATATTGGTCGCTAGGGTGTGCCAATTCGCTTTTGAATTATGTGGTTGTTGAGCTATTCATGAAGCTTGACAAACGTCTCGTCACCAATCTTGAGGTTTTCGTCAGCGCATTTATGACGAGGTGACTAGAGAGTGCGTTTTTTCTTACACATGTTCTTCAGTCGCGAAGAACATAGCACCATAAACCGCAGTGGCTAGATCGTAGGCTACACATACTTTACCAGACGGGTATTACGCTTAATGCCTCCCTTCGTCATTCAACTGTAGCACTCTTTCGGTGTCTGACTTCCACGCTACAAGAAGGAAGTGCGAGGGCTGCGATACTGCCAGGTTGCCCAAGCCCAGACAGAGGAAGTCGAGAGGCAGAAGTCGGGTTCGAACCATAGACCTTCCGACCAGTAAAATCGCGCTCTAACCACTGAGCGATCTCGCCCATGTCTTCCTTGAAATGGCATAGTTTCTGGGGTGGACAGCGTATTGCCTAAGAAAAGGTGTGGAAATGAGTTTGAGGTCAGTTGCTGCATTCCGCTCTCCAAGGTTGGAACCCGCGTGACCCTCCTCCTGCCAAAAGTTTGAGGTCAGTTGCTGCATTCCGCTTTCCAAGGTTGGAACCCGCGTGACCCTCCTCTCTGGGGATATATTGTTTGTTCTTGTCGACTTTGTAAAGCACGGGGACGTGGTACCTATGACAGAACGGACTCTCGTTTCACCCCCAGGCTTCTTATCTGCGGTTGATTTCTGTCACTTACCTGCCATCTGTGTGTGCATTTGACAGCTGCACCTCGACACATGGGCGAACGGAACCAAGCGAAGTTAGTCAAGTTTACGAGCATCTACTCCCAAAATATTAGGCGACCGAGATCACCTTTAGGGTTATGTTCAATGGATCTTGGTTCTTGTAGATTCAGAGGATATTAGCGTTCGCCAGCACCACAAGGGATCTGGTTTTAGATGGCAGGTATCCGTCAACCTTCGGATTACCCCTCGTAATGGATGATTTTGCAACAAAGTATTTAAAAGGCGATTGCTAATGAAAATATTGAAGCACTCAAATTCTAAAGTATGTTTGATTCCTTTACCCCTTCCCAGCATAAAATCGGGTCCTTCTCGTTGACATTTATTAATCGCAGAGACTTTGATCTTGATGTTGTGGACCTTCTCATTTCATTTTTCAGTGCCTACACTGGTGGATTGTGGCTCGCCTGTTTGTACTCAGCTTGTGAGATGATAGAATACGCACTTTCAGCAAATTCACCTTTGAAGGCCTTCTTGATCTCTTCCAACTCCGAAGATGACGTGTCATGGCCGCAAGTGCAAAAAGAGTTGCAAATTCTTTTGGAAAGCGCCAAAACTGTCTATGACCGTGCATTGTGGACAGGTAAGCTCCGTGTCTGATTATTTGTACTGTAAAAAATCGGGGTTATTTCTCACAAGATAAAGTGGTTTGCTTTGTTTCTGTGCGTCTGTGCTTCTTCAACTCGAACGTGACTCGCACGCATAACATAGACTCGAGTCTTCCGAGAAACGAGCAAGCGAAATTCTCTGCCCAAGGGCGTTTGAACACATTAGATAGTCATCTTGATGAAATAGTTTAGAGTGATATTCAACTTGAGGTTTTTGTTAATTTAGCGCTTGATTTCGCCACTTAGTCTCTTTCACTCAACCGCTAATTTACAGAACTTTTACTGCTTGATCATTGTACCACTTTGCTTTGATTATTCACACCCGATGGCTGGTAAACAACACAACCGTACCCCCTGCTGGGAGGTGAACTTTTTTTTCTACAACACACTCTTTGTTGATGACCTTAAACCAGCAGCGCCACTCACAAGACGCTCACATTTTACTTACTCTCGTCAGTCGGAAACACATGATCGTGAACACTGCTGTCCAATCACTTGGGAAAGTTGATGTTTTTCGTCCGTTTAAACGCAGCGGGAGGTTATGTGAAAAACGATTCTGCAGACCCCGCCACTCGCGTGGCGGAGAACAAATGTTATGTGATGGGGTCGTTCGCCAGTCAATAAATCTGTTCACCCAGGTACCTTAACGCCTTGGATCGTGACTCGTGTTAGATCTCACGGGCCAGTGTACCTTATCTCAACATTAGTTGTCTCACTAAGGTCTATTCTGTTTGACACAAGACACACAAACGCCTTGCTGCTTAGCTGGTTTGGCTCAGATCCATCCTTTTGGTAAACAAGGTTGAAATTATATGTGAAATTCGATGGGGGAATCTTAGCACACTATCCAGAAGCCCTAATTTGCCCGCGCTGTGCGGGCCTTGACTTTATGAGGAAGGAGACGACCGACAAATTTATCGCCCCAAGCCCATCGCAATGCAGAAAGGTCATGGAAGATAGCTTGTAGGATCACTTGGATATACTTACAGCACTTTTTAAAAGCAATGGCCGTTGGAGACATTTTTCTTACACTCTGTAGCTACTTTCGCATTTGATAGCACATCACTGGTGGTACGAGATTCCCGTTGTTTCAATGTTTGAGCCCCATGGTGTTACTTCATGAACAGTCCTTTTTGGGTGCATACAAAACAGAAGGCCTGGAAGATTCATCTCCGACTGTTTTGCAAGCACTCTCTTAGAAATGGTGCTCATTTGAGAAGTATGCAGATGCCACTTGCAGTTGTAAAGTTACATTAGCCAATCGCTTCAACAGCAGTTCATTCGAATGAGACACGAGAATGTCGTTCGGTAGATCCAGATGCCGTTGTACATTTAGCGCTCAGTAAGTGAAACAAGGGTCAACGACTTGGGGTTCTGTGCACTTCGCACGCAACCTAGATCTTTGGGATCAAACTGGCAATACGCCTCACGCATGTTGTTTGGTCTCGAATGCATACCTTCAAAGGATATTTTCGCCATAGAAGTTCCTTTCCTGAAGAGCACGCGTCGGCGGCATTAAACATAGCACTCAATGCTTGTACTCGAATCGGTGGGTAGGACCTATATTTCCGTTACCTGGACATTCAACACTCAGTGGTTAGAGTGTGGATTTACTGACCGGAAGGTCCGTGGTTCGAACCCGACCTCCGCCTCTCAACTTCCCCTGTCTGGCCTTCGGCAGCCTGGCAGTATCGTCCTTCCTTCTGGCGGCACCGAAAGGGTGTTACAGCTGAACAGTCCCAACGGTTAACCACACGTATTATAGTCACTGAACTGTGAATTTTCATGGTTCTCCTGGTCTGATCGCTGATTCCGTTGTTTCTAGCCTTCTGCATATGTCTTTGCACTGCGTTACGCTCTTTTCGGGATGCAATTGGAGGTATTCTTCATAGTAATCTTCCATCTGACGATACAAATTCGCCGTAATCACCATTGACAGAAACACAAGAGATGAACACTGATGCTTCACTGTAGTGAATGCCAACTTATTCTTATAGCGCTCTATAATGGAAATAAGGAAAATGCGACAGAGAGGTGACCAATGGCAAACATCCAAGATGCAACCACCTCAATATCAGCCAGATACTCTGAAGAGAAACCATTGATATGAACGCCTGATATCGGTTAGGCGCCATATCGTCCAGTGTCTTCAGACAAGCATAAGAAAGGTCAAGTGTAGACCCATCCTGCAAGTCGAACAGTACCAGCAGCACTCACTTTTCCTAGCGTCCTTCACTCCCTTTTACCGTATCATATTTTGTCCGTCTCTAGGCTTTGGTCACTCCGTTCGTTCTCCGTAGACGGTAAGTAAGGATGTGTAACACATTGTCTTGCACGCTTGCAACGCTCGAGCATCGCCTCCTTATACTGCACCAGAGACCTGTCTTCCGATNCCCCATGGTGTTTCGCTTATTCCGACCGATTTCAGCAACATTTCTGAGACATTGGTGTTTGGAAACCTAAACATGTCACAGATCCTCCACCGGAAGAGGCCGTAGAGCAATGTATCTCACACTGTAGTCTAATACACAAGTGAAATGCTTTTTTGATGCCACGAGTGGCGCAAATCGGCAAACACAATTCTGGTCTGAGATTCGTGCGTTGACGTCGTCTGTCACACTGCCACCAGAGCTAATGCAAGTTATGCGTTACGTGTACTGCTCTACTACATCCAATATTTTGGCTTGAGTATTTGGAGGTGTGGTCGAGGACTATAGGTCCTGCAGCACGAACTCACAGTTTGTGGGGGCGATGCATATGCCGATGGACTGGATCACCTTGGTCAGCACTCTTAGTAACTCTTACGCTTTCTGATAGCTAAAAATAGGGCAGTGTTCTCCGCATATTTCAGGTTTGCAAGGTTCCCGCTCGGAGGGTCTTGAAGAGCTCAGTATCTCATCCGTAACGGAAGTAAACAAAAATGGAGAGAATGAACACTATTGTTGGACATCAGTGGTTGTAGGGAGGCTTTTACAGATGGCCCAAGTGGTTAGAGCGCGAATTTACTGACCGGAAGGTCCGTGGTTCGAATCCGATCTCCGCCTCTCGACTTCCCCTGTCTAGGCTTGGGCAACCTGGCAGTATCCCAGCCCTCGTGCAAACTTCGGGTGGCATGGCAGTTAGGCACCGAAAGGGTGCTACATCTGAGCGACTTACAGAGTTCCTCATGCACTATTAAGAGCCCACAGATGCGTGAATAGAAAGAACATGCCCTGTAGTGCGAGCCTGCTGGGAAGAACAAATTAGTCAACAGAACCAATCGCATTCTTGAAATCAAAGAACATCAGTACTGCATCCTTACGCATGCAGTTATTCGATGACCTGCTGGAATGTGCAGATGTCATCCACAGAAACTCTTCCCTGCCACAAGCCAGCTTGCTATTCGTGAGTTTCGCTTTCATGCACCATCGTAGGGTGATGTAAAATAAGCGGTACAAAGAGTCTAGACACAAGGGGAATCAACCACTTAAGCATAGACCTTCAGGCTTGGTGATTTAAGCAACACAATCCTCGGCATAATCGGCTACGGCAGCTTTAGATCACCACAGACGCCTATCAGAGTAACTAAGACACTTTAGTAAATAGGCCTAGGGTCTTATCTTAAATAGATATGATAGTGGGATCGGTCCTTGGCATGCCAAACACGATTCACCAAGAAACTAGACTTTCAATATAGTCGCGTTGTGTGTCGCAGAAAGTGAACGTGGTGGGATCAGATCGAGCTCAAACAAGTGGCTTGGTTCTGCATCCTTTTCACGCCTTGATTTAGTCCTAGACAGAGTGACCAACAGTTAGTGGCCTACCACTATCACTAATATGAGCCATACGATCTCTACGGAGTTCGCTTCACAACCAGTCCTTTCCCACTGCGTGTCATACTACTTATTCCGTATCGCTCTTCCAATCGTTCTGCGGACTTTTTTGAAGGGCTTCAGTCATTATACAGATCTAGGGACCACTTACCCGCTAGCGAACTGGAAATTATTTTCATGATTAACATACAGTATGGCTACTTCACCACCAAGCGTGGGACTGTTTAAAATCATGCGAACAGTTCTCATGCATGTTGACGAACACACTTCCAATAGAGTTGCAGTTGATAAGTGAAATGTTAAATAGGGTGGTGTTCAAGTGGACAGACCGCACAACGAGAGGTTGTGTTAACTGTACAACTGCCTATTACATGAAACTTTACCGACATTTTGACAGCAATTGTTGCATCAATTGAATTTCGGCGATATTCTGTTGTTTACAGGTACCTACTATATCTATCAAAACACGCCAGTTGGCAATCACGAAGCAATTATGGCCGACCAGCTGTCCGGGCATGGTTTTTTGCGTGCAGGAGGTGCTCCGCCAGATGCTGTAAGTGACATTGCTGGGACTTGCATTTGTTATCACATAAAACAACAACACGGGTGTACGGTTGGTTGCTTTTTGATGAGAAGAGACACTTGACAGATCGGTACCGTGCAATCTGAAGTGGTTTGAACACTCCATTGTGTTTATTGTTATTTTTTCGATGACCCCATTCAAGCAAGTGTAAAATAGCGTTCTCAGTTGACGCCTCTGTCAGCCTGTTCTTCCGTTTATGTCGATTTTTTCGAAACTTATGTCCCGACGGTGCCAGGTCGACTTTGTTTTCTTAGATAAGGTATCGCAAATGTTGGATCCTAAGTACAATGTTGTTCCTCAGGCCAGGCATGACCGTGAAATCTGTCTACAGCAGAATCCTTTCCGTACGTGTGGGAATTTTACATCAGGCTGAACATTCTGCCTCCGGGTATCAAAATTCGATCTTGTCATATTGAATATAGTTAAATAGAGTTCCGACCATAATATCAGCTGTTTCATGCCGCCTTCCAATAAGATGGCTTGGTTCTCACCCTTGAAGCGTTGATCATTCTTTGTATGGAAACTTTTGAAGTCGAAGCAGCGTAGTGCAATAGGATGTTATAATCCGACGTTTCGATTGCCGTGTGCTGCTTCAAGGATTTCTACCTTCAGTTGAATACGAGTCAAATGCAACGTCATTTGAGTCCGCTATCTGGTTGTGGTGTGTTCTTGAGATTGTTTGGCTCTCAGATGCGAGCAGCGTGTGAATGTGTCAGATGTGTGTGTGTGTACGCGTGCTTGTGTGTGTACTTTAACTACTTCCTCTACGTTTGTAGTTGTGCTGGTTGTGATCAGTCTTATTGACAAATCTGGATACAAATCATCTGGGATATCGGGGAATCGATTTCGCTGTTTGCTACGGTTCGCCTACTGTCGGTACATGCCTGGTGTGATCGATTGGCTACCAACTAAGTGATCACCTCCAACAATATTATCCTTTCCATTCGCAGATCTTACCTGGCGAGCACGTGATTATGGCACTGAAGACGATTCAGAGCACAAATTGGGAATCCATTCAGAACGGCAGTTTGGGCGTGATCAATGGCGGTCTTCCTGGCGCGAAACGGGATCTTTCCAATGTCCAAGCAGAGGAATTTTGGGTCGGTGTAAACTATTCTCTGGCGGCTACGATGATCTTAGAGGTGGGTCGTCATATACGCATAATTTCTCCTTCCCGTAGGCCCGCTGTTTATTTTTTTATGTTCCAGTGTTCATTTCCATGACACCAGGGTCGATTTTTTGAAACCACTGGCTAGAGGAGCATGGATAGCAACATCATTAACATATTCACTTAGCGGGGTTGCTTGGTTAATAGTTGTCTGTGGTTGGCACCCGGCAGTGATCTTATATCAGTTTCACCAGTGCTGTGTTATCCCAAATTGATACCCAAATAGATTTATTCCAGTAGGGGGGGGGCGAGATTGCTCAGTGGTCAGAGCACGAATTTACTGGTCGAAATGTCCATTGGTTCGAACCCGACCTTTGCCTCTTGACTTCCTCTGTCTTGGTTTGGGCAACTTGGCAGTATCCAAGCCCTCGTGCTCCTGGTGGCATGGCAGTTAGGCACCGAACGGTGCTACAGCTGAACGATTTTTCTGTTTCAGTAGCATTTGAAAGGTTAACCGCCTTATTGTTCGTCATTCCCCTTTGGCTTTTCTTTCACTTGCCTCCTGATCGGGGTTGCATAGACCGTCTCCAGAACGTCTCCCGAAAGGCTGAATACGTGCGTCTCAGCGTATTGCGCATTCCTGAACCCATACCAATGGTCACCTCGTTCTGACAAACGTCGCATAGGTAAATAATTCTTGCATGTCTGTTTGGTCTAAAGTTTCCTCGGTTCACCTACCGCGTTCTCAGACATCGCACATTTCACGTCACCACGCCAGTGAGTTCGAGCGGACAGACGACTGACCTCATCGCTGGGCTCTTCTTGCTTGGGTTGGTACGCTTGGTCATCACTTGAGTTCCATTGGACTGCAGACTTTCCTTCAGGATTTTTCAGTAAAGACGTTACCCTGAAGTGATTTTGGACTGCACGCCTTCCCTCACCACAATACATCCTAAAACACTGCTTATGCTCGGCGGTAAGGAATCTAAACTCCAGTCACATGAAACGCGCGATAACGGTGTGTGATGTTTCACCAGTACACATTAAATACATGTGCATCATACCGTTTGGCAAAGCGAACCTATCTGTGCTCGGTAGGATCCTTCAAGGACGCAGGAACGTTATGAAAACTCAGGACAGTTTTATCCGCTTGGTGAAAGTATACGTACATTCTGGTCAGCTTCAGCCCTTAATATGGCTTTTTTGCTTTCTGATGAAAGCATACTTACTCACTGTTGTTGAAGGTTTCTGTTTCTTTTTTCATCCTTTCGTCCATGTGATTTCACGCAGTTCCATCTATTCCGTACGTCTTAGCAATCACTTTGCTTCATTCACTTCAGGGCATGTCGCAAGAAGGTTTCTCTCTTGCCGAGGCCTGCTACAACACCATCTACAATAGATTCGGGTTACAATATCAAACTCCGGAAGCCTACATGATTGACGGCCGATTTCGTTGTCCTGGCTACATGAGGCCGCTGGCTATTTGGAGCATTCAACAGGCTTTGGAAACCAAACAGTTGTATAACGGTACAACTTCGACTAATTCGCTACAAGAGACCGAAGATGACGAAATGCTGACGGAGGCCGTCAGCAAGTCTTCCAACATATCCACCGACGGCAATCATACGGACATCGTATGACGGGTACCACGGAAACACTTTCCTCGTTAGTTAATTCCAGATTTCTAGAATTTCCGGTCGGGATTCCTATTCCATCGTACCACGATCGCCACCATTTGTACACCGCGAAATCTTTCTGTTCATACTACTGCTGACCCGGTCGCAGGCTATACACAAACAGGTGGTGAAGCAGGTGTCTACCTCTCAGATTGGCAGGCTACGGTTTTATCTTCTTTATGTTCTCGTTTCATCTTCATCTCATTCTGACTTACCGTATATTCCTTTGCCAAAAACAACAACATTGTTTCCGATTTTATTTGTCCTGCCCTCTGTTGACATCTTCTGGAGAGCATTATTTTTCTATACGGCTGTCACTGTTTCGCCTCCTCATGAAGTCCTGCAAATGAGTGTCGGAGTGCAGTTAGTGTTGATCAATTTACAAAACAATGTGATTCAGGACTATGCTAGCGCTGTTCATCAGATATTCTGCTCATTGCGTCCTTTGATGTGGATTGCTTACTTTTGTGGAGCTTTGAGTCACTTTTGCGTCATTCGTTTTATTACTTAAAAAAACTAGCATGAATGTTTATGACTCTCATTTTTTGGAGGGAATAAATTGATTTGGAGAAAAGGGGAACAACGTCTGAGGTGTTCGGTAGAAGTCGCGGAGTCGTTTGTTTTTCAGGACATCACACAGCCTTACCAAGAGCATTCTGTCGTGTGAAAAATCATCCTCTCTGGGTAACATGCCCCCTTTATCCAGACTCAGATTATTTTCCCCAGTAAATCACGCATCGGGCGGAAGGAATTGGGAACCTGAGTAGAAGGTTTCTTCTTGCGTCTCCGGTTCGATTTTTGCAGATGGTTTGCCGGTTTGGAATATGAAGATTCAAAGTCCCTGCTGATGAGTCGTCGAATTTTCACGCCATCCTAGTGGACCGTATGGCAATTTTGAGAAAGGTTCTCGTTAGTCCGCATTTCCAGGACAATGGACCCTTTCGAGACCGCACTGAGGAGTTGAATTAAAGCCTTCTCAGGCTGCATTCCGCGCAGGCAGAATCACCATATGATTATGTGTATCGATTGTCAGCGGAAGAACGTTGTTATACGTAAGCAGCGAGATCACATCATAATCTTACGAGTAAGATGTCAGTACAGTCATGTAGAATCACATTCAACTGATCAAGCACCCTCACAAGATTTATTGTGTGTGTATGACTTGCCCATTCGGGACCCTCTGCAAACGAGTAGACACTTTCAAAGTTTGCCAAATGCCCTCCAACTGGTGTTTGTCTTTGACGCTTTCTACACCTGGTCAACGTTTTTTGGCGGGTTTCCGTGAGTATAAGACGGAAATTCGCACTAAGACCGGCGCGAATGCAGTAGATGAATTTGGTAGCCTTGCATGTGTGACTAAGTCATCTACTAGGGCGCACATCGTTGACCATGGGCTCTGTTTGTACTGCTTAGCTTCACCCGAAATGGTGGGAGCAAAGAGGAAAAACCTGTCGGGAAGTTATTCTTGGGGCTCGATAGATCCTAGGTTGTTGTAATTTGCTTGGAAACCTTCGCTCTCCTGTTGCGGTCATGTGATTTTCTCCAAACCATCGCAGTATTCTCTCCTTTAGATGCTTCTTTATGAGGAAGAGACAACCAAAAAGATCCGTATCGCTTGCTTTCTACGATGGAATTTCGTTTGTGTCCGCGTACTTCCCACAACGACTTTCGTGATAGCGGGACAGAATTTTCCTAGCTCTCCTGAGGTAAATGCTACAGATGCTCAGCATTCGCCTTCAGTCGAAAATTGAGTTTTGTATATACTGTGTCTATACAGCCCCCCAAGATGGGACTATTCCCTCTGAATTGTTTTGCCTCGCGGAAACTGCTGTCGATTCTGATTCACCGCAGTAGTTGCACTCTGTGTTCATAATTCGTGCATGACGTCGCCCCGTCTGTTTGTCTGCTGTTCGATTTTTTTTGAAGAAAGCCTTATTAAACAAGGGACGAATTGGTGAAGGTGGAAACTTGAGGCTAGTTTACCGTAGGCACTCCACTGTGTTACACGTCCGAGCGTCCGTAAGCAGTTTGGATAGAAACTGGCAAAATCGTGCCTCGGCGACTCACTGAAATATAATGGGGATGTACTTTCGACACTTGAGGAGTCTCGTAACAGGTTAGTCAAAGGGTAGATCAACACAGTCCCCTGCTTGTTTAGTTTGAGGATTAGAACGTGTAGCGACTTACTCTTTAAAAAATGTAATGGGCTGGCATCTCCCTTTGACCACCGCTGCATTGCAGCTTTTGAGCCAAGGGCTTTGTCTGAGGACCCTTGTCGTTCTCCTGACTAGGTTTAGACTTCCTGCGATATCCTAGCCAGCGTACATTCTTTATAACTAAAAATAAAGATACTGTCCTTACGAATCGGTGAAGCATTGACTCGAGGACAGCAAGTAGGTGCTTCACTGACGTATAAGCAACCCACAATTGTAGTATTCCTGAATGTTAAAGGCGCATTTGACTCTGTTGTTTGGTATGTTCTTGACACGCTTGGTCATCAGGGAATGCCTAAACGTTTATCAATGCAACAAGCTCCTCGTATTCTCAGACTTGCGGGCGTGAGAGTAACGGAGAACTCTCCAAATGCTTTTGTATGGAAGGGGGTATCTGGGACTGATAAACGCTACCCGCTTTCCTATTCGCTTCTGTGATCGACGGGGTGATGAGACGAACGATAGGATTTCGAAACCCTGGTTTTCAAATAGCTACTGCTAAGTTGAACGCCATTACTCAACGGTTAGGGGAATCGAAGTTCGTTGAATCGACCAGTCACCAGTTATTCTTTCCGTTTGTTGGCCTTAACGGATTCTTCACCTCCGGAGGTGAAAGCTTTTCAGAAAAGGAAGACGTTAATCCAGTATCATCAAATTCCGCAACTAACCGTAATGGAATTATCGTTTTTGGTTAGCGTTCCGTCTGTCGCATTTGATCGATTGAACCCAAAGTTGTAGCACATAGCACGTGTATGGAGTGCGAATGTGGTTTTCAGGACCGTTGTGGTCGAGTCTCTTGGGTGGCTCGCCAGCGAACGTTGCGACGCGTCCAAAAAGGAGTTGTCACTATGCCAGTGTTTTTTGGCGCATCTGGGCAGTTCCGTCGGGTAGAACATTTATTCCTGTTTGACAAGTGACCTTTCCCGAAACAGCTGCCACCTCCTTAATATTGAAGATGGGATGTACATTAAGGTGAACTAATTTTTAGTTCACTTTCGGACGATTCTATGCTAGCTTAATATTGATACATGTAACTCTTGCGGCGAATAGTCAGTTAATTGAGATCGTTTTTCGAGCACACGAAGCGTTACACTACTCAGTTGGAGTTGGAATGGAACTGATGAGTTTCCAAGAACTAAGTCTACTGCCACATCCCGCTAGTGACATGCAACCGTCACTCATTTGTTTCGTTCAATCGAAGGGCGCCGGAAAATCAATCAATGAGCGCTCGATTTTGATGGAATGCATCAAGTGTCGCTACATTTTGTCAGACATCAGTAGCCTACAATTTCAGCCAGCCATCCCGGAACACTTGAATTGGATCACTGTTCTTATGTCTTTCATTGAAGTAACTGTCGTATAAAATCACTCCATATGGAGACCACCCCTTCCGTAAGTGGGTGCTATCCCTCTAGCGAAACGGAGGAATTTGATTAGGCATTCTCAGCTCATTCAATAGCCAACCGTTCTCTGCGTTTAACTATTTTTTGCAAAGCATTAGATTCATGCTTTGCAGGATTGCATTCCGGATGAATGTAAAATCGTCTTGTCGTCTGTGTATCCAATATGCACCAAAAGCAGATAAGTGTGTTTGGATGGAACGACGGGTGTTCAGACGTTGAAACCAGTCTTGATAATGATTTGGTTTTCGCTTGCCCCCTACTGGATGAATCAATCATCTAAGACATTCTTGTCGCACGTTTTCTAAGAACCGTGTCATCGAAAATTTCGCGCAGACAATCAAGGTTGCACCGGATTGGGTTAGATAGGCAAGGCGACAGGGTTCTCGAGATTGTCTGGCATTGAGTGATGGAATGCATGTAAGGTAAGGGCACAATATGGGGTTTCAGGTTTTCGGACCGCAACTGCCCCAGCTATTCATCGAAGCCGTACATCAGTAGTTCCGGAAGTGATGTGGTGGAACTGTGCGATCTATATAAATAGCCCAAGCAAGTTCGATTCGACAACTTGATTTTTCAGCCGTGCATAAAGCTTGAGGGTGGCCAAATTCCGTAACCATCGCTTGATCCGGCAGACCAGTTATTGCTCACCAGCTGGGGTTGGTGTAACGACCCAAGCTTCTCTGACATTCGGTTTGCAAAGAGTACGACTTGTGGAACAAATAAAAGAGTCTAAACATTCTGCTTCCATACTCTTGTAACAATCAATTATCTAAGATTAGGCAATTGATTAATTCGTGGTAAATTACGTGTTGCACGTATACCCGAGGACAACAGTAATCCAACCGCCTGCAAAAAAGCAGTAATAATGTTTTGATGGAAATCAACGTGAGGTCTGCACTGGTGAGTGCAAGTGAAAAATCACTCAGGGCAATCTCAGCTAGTTAGGAAGTCACAAAATTGCGTTTTTTTAAAGATGTGCATGAGGGAACTTATCAGGGGACAAACAAGAGAAAGCAAGCGAATACCATTCTGCGGTTGGAACAGTAAACTGTAATACCTTATCATCCGAGTTTCCAAAGTTCGTTTAAGGCGTTTAAGAGGTGTGTGTTTACACCCTCACCTTCGCTGAGGTCCCACCGTTGAAAACGGCAAGGCAGAATGTAGTCAACTGGTTTTGAACACCATATAGACGTGATGTACTACTCATAAGGCTACTGAAAACCCCTCGACAGCCCACGACAAGTTTCGTCCTTTATGGGGGTCATCAGGTAGGTGCAATCCCCGAGTTTCCGTCAGTCTTATATTCTACTTGAATCCAAAAGGAAATTAGAGAAATACTCATTTGTAAACAAATTTGTTTTTCTTTTTGCGAGAGACTCACCTGGAACCCAGCTGAAACTCTCGTTTGTGATGTGCCCTGGCAACTGAATGTGCTGCACCAGGTCGCCTCTTGTTTCATTTGCCACGATATTCGAGATATCGCGACACATGTATATTCGTAATGCACTATTCATAAGGCTGATGAAAATTATTCGATAGCTCACAACCGGTATCACCCCCCTTGGGGCTCATCAGGTGTGATCCCCGAGTTTCCGTCAACCTTATGTTCTACTTGAACTCAAATTACACGAAATTAGCAAAATACACTCATTTGCAAACAACTGTCTTACGAGAGATTCATCTGGAACCCAGCTGGATCTTTCGTTCGTGATGTTTCCAGGCAACTGAACATCACAAACGAGGGATTCAGCTGAGTCTTCCGTCAAAACCAAATAGGTTTTGGACACTTCTAAAAACTTATATCTGCAAGGTTACCCATGGGAATCATAAGCTGGTTGGGAGGGAGGGGGAAAAATAACCGCTTTTCCGTAGCATCTAAGCAAACAAACAAACAA